AGCCTGACCCCCTGCAACAGGCAGGAATGAATGCTGGGTTCACAAGACCCCAGACAGGTGATTATCCAACCTCTTGAATTTGCCCAAGGTAGGGGTGAGGACCACTTCCCTGGGAAGTTGATTCCAGATTTTGGCCACCCTAACTGTAAAATATTGCTGTCTGATCTCTAACCTAAACCTATTCTCCATCAGCTTATTACCATTGTTCCTTGTCACCCCAGGTGGTGCTGGGGAGAAAAGGGCTCTATCTATTTGCTGTTCATCTCCCCTGATGAGCTTGTAGGCAGCCACTAGGTCTCCCTTCAGCCGCCTCTTAATGAGGCTGAACAGGTTCAGGTCCTTCAGTCTCTCCTCGTAGGGCCTGTCCTGCTGCCCTCTCACCAAGCGGGTGGCCCTCCTCTGAACCCTCTCCAGGCTGGCCACATCCCTTTTGAACCTTGCTGGCTGCAGTCTGGCATTGGCGGCTGATGTTCATCTTGGAGTCAGTGATGACTCCAAGATCCCTTTCCGTCTCTCTGCTTTCAAGAAGGGAACTCCCCAGCCTGTATGTATGCTGTGGATTCCTTCTCCCAAGGTGCAGCACCCTGCATTTGTCTATGTTGAACCCCATCCTATTCTCATCTGCCCACTTTTGTAGTCTGTCTAAATCTAGTTGCAGCTTCTCTCTCCCTTCAAGTGTGTCCACCTTGCCCCACATCTTAGTGTCATCAGCAAACTTGGACAGCGTGCTTTCCACCCCCTCGTCCAAGTCGCTGATTAAGGTGTTAAACAGCGTGGGCCCAAGGACCGAGCCCTGGGGCACCCCACTGCTCACATCTCACCAGGTTGAGTACAACCCGTCCACCGCTACTCACATTTTGCCAGGTTGAGTACAACCCGTTCACCATGGTGGCAGCTTTTCTTACTCATTTAAAATTGGTCTCTTTCCTAAGGCTTAATTAACAATTGGTCCTTAATACAGTATAATTGAGGTGGTCAGTATAATTGAGGTGGACAGTATCATTGTTAATCTTCCGCATTCTCAGTTTTACCCTGATAAATTCCCTGATTTATTTATTTATTTTTTAAGTCATTTGGTTTTTACTGCTCTACACCCATTTTTCAGTTCAAATCCCTGTTAACCAGTACGAGTGGAGAATGGCCCCAGGTCTGTGCAGGACAGGGCAGACTGCTGCTATGGGCTGGAGCTGGGCAGCAGGGGCAGGACTGGACTGTGCTTGGGGTGTGTGGTGGCGATGCTGGGATGGGGGCTATGCACCAAAATTCACTATAGCCTCCTCAACCCTCCCTCCCAGCACTGCTGCTGCCTGCCCTGAGCAGAGCACGGCCCAACCCCCCTGGCAGGAAGAGCCCAGTGTGGCCCCAGGCCAGCGCGGCAGCCTGGCCCACTGTGCGCCGCACAGATCCAGGGGCACCCCCCCATGCCCCTCAGGGTGTGTGCAGTGGCAGGAACCATCCCCCAGATGAGCTGTGGCTCTGTCCTGCACCCCACCCAACCCTGGCTGGGCAGCCCCTGGCCCAGCCCCACTCCCTTCCTCAACACAGGGGCCTTGATCTGCTCCCACACACCCCTCCCTTTCCACCACAACAGACTTACCAGCTGGACACAGCTCTCTAAGCTGCCGGGCTGTGCTCCTTGCAGCCTGTGTACTGTGCTGCAGCTGCACGTGTGTACAGGGCAAATGCACGTTGGGCACATTATCGGCTACATTGGGCAATAAAAAGCTGATTTCTGTTGCACTCAATTTTCTTTATATCGATGCCAATCCGATATCAGATTGTTATATCGCTGCACCTCTATAAATCAGTGGTTTCCAACCTTTTTAAACTTGAGGCACCCCTTGGACAATCTAGTTTTTAGTTTAATAAATAAATACATAAATAAAATAAGCAAAAACTGCAGAAAAATAATAGAGCAATTTTTCTGTTGCAGAGAACTCGGCCGTGGTTTGGACACTGTGGATTCCTACTTGAAATCTCTGGCTTTATTTTGTAAATCAAGTTTGTGCACCTAACAGTGCTAACATTGTGTGGTGCTCCTCATCACCCTTGAAAGGATCTCGCAGCACCATGGTTGAGAAAATCACTGCTTTAGACTACTTGGGTGTATGAGGGATATTATCACTGCAAAATGGGTACATGGCCTACACTCAACATTTACGCTGATGGCCGTGTATGGCTAGATAATGCTTTCTAGATCAGACAGTCCCTTGTCCAAAGGTTTTTTTAGCCTAAAATACATTGATTAATCTGTTCTTGTTGGAATCAGGCATTCTTTTCTCTACCGTTGTCATGTCTTGGCTTTCTACTTATCTTAATGCTTTCTTTGTTTGGGAATTGTGGTAAGGGAGTGTGATAAACATTGAGGCGTTATTTCTTACTGGAATGACTGCTGTCATCATTTTGCTCTTTGAAGCCTTGAGGCTAAATTGGAGGTTATAAAATAGGATGTTTCATGTGTCGAATTATGAAGTTTCTTGAGGACGAGGAAATGGCAAATATTTCACTGTATTTTAATGATTGCTTTTGCATTTTTTGTTCCTGATAGATGGGAGGATGCTAGTAATTAGGGCTTGGATACAAAGGTGATTGATACAAGCATCTTTCCAGTAATTACACATCTTAAATAAGATCATAGTTGTTTGACCAATAAGCTTGGAAAAATCTGATATTCCATCCTCATTTCATCTTTGAGGTGACATATGTATTGAGACGGTGGCCTGAATTTCCTTATTCAGATAAAAATGGATAACTGTTTTCAGGCTGTGTTCCTTGGAACCCTACTACCATCACAATCTTCATGGAGAGGAAAGGACTGTGTATGTAGGCTGAAATCCATTCTAATATTTAATTGGTCCCTTTCCTTTCCAGGCCAGGATGACAGCACATTGGGGTCAGCATGAAAAAAAAAACAACATTGTCACTTGCTTACATCTCTGTTCTCTTTTGTATTATGTTAGCATTTAGCAACTATCTAATTGTGCTAACCAGGCAGTACCCCAAAGAGCTGACCATGTAATCACATAATTTACAATCTGCTTGGGGGATAAGTGGAGGAATGAACATACCACGAATGTCTGTCTGGCAATCTTTTATTGCTCTGAAACACAAAAGTGAGGCTTTGGTTAATGTCCTTTTAATACTTGTGTATACACAATATTTCTTGTGTAAACAATCTGGATTACTATATTCAAAGTTGAGCTGCAGCACTTCTAAGAAAGGTGGCCATCCCCATTCTGTAACAGATGAGCTGCAAATAAGTGCATTATTAAAATAGTAACCAAAAGATCATTTCCTTTTTCTCACAGCCAAAGAAATGTGTTCAGAAATCTCAGAAAATTGATACAATTCATAATTGTTGTTATGGTGTTTGTAGCTGAGATGATGCAGGGGAAGACCCTGCATGCAAGAAGCAAGATTTCATAGTTTCATAGATGTTAGGGGCTGGAAGGGACTTAACAGATCATTGGGTCCAGCCTCCTTGTACTTGAGCAGGAAAGATGACTGGGGTCAGATGACCTCAGCAAGGCGGCCGCTAAGATGCTTTTTTGTGAGATTGTCTTTTATTGGACCACTTTACAGTTAAAAGAGATGTTAATCACGCTTTTGGATGCAAAATGCCCTTCCTCAGACATTACCTCCCAAATCTTTCCCCACAGTTTGAGTGGAAGTTGTACAAAAACTGTAGCTCTGTTTATGTGCTACCATTTTTATCTTTTGTTCTGCTAGAAGAAATAGTATTGTGCTTGGGTCTTGAGAGATTAAAAATATTGAGTGAGGCCTGGAAAATTGTAGTCAACAGCTTTTAGATATAGAAGTCAAGTGAGGCATTACAAAAGGAGAAGATAGGGTAACATGTCTCTATTTCCCAGCAGAAGCTGGGATCAGTGTCTTGGTTTTTAGTTCAAGAGCGGATAGTGAGGGGAGCTGTACTTTTTCCCTTCACCTCAAATTCCTTCAGATAAGGGTCTTTATGCTGCACTCATATGACATTGCATGTGTTGCTGTAATGAGGATTTCTTGCCTTTTTTGTTTTCCTCACAGACTTTTTCTTTATTTCTGCAAAATTTCCAAAATTACCTCTGTGGTGGTGGTTTCTTTCCCAGGCCATTAAATAAAAACTGAGAAGTATCTGGTCTCTATTACTGCTCAGAATGCAACAGTGAAACTGTTCTGATATTTAGTATTTTCTGTTGGTGTTGCTCTGGAAATAATAGCATACTAGGCAGATTTGGAGATGTGTTTATTGGGAGACTGGCATGACTGCTCAGAACATGTTGGCTTAAATCCATGAATTAGAATAAAAATACTTATAATCATTTGTACCTTAAGTATTTTGAGTACCCCATATTGGTCTGCAGCTAATTATTTTGGGCTCCCTTGGCAGTATAAGTTGATTATTCAAAATAAATGGGATTAAGGACCTTTATTCAGTATTTGAAAGAGAGAATGTACAGTTATACTCAATGTCTTAATTGTGCAATAGAAAATGCACTTTTGTCTAACTGTTGTTTCTTTTTCCCACTCTAACTTGTTCCAACTGTATTAATTTCAATCTAGTGAGAGTGTTTTTATTTGTGAGCATTTATAGGACCTGAATTCTAGCTGGTAAGTTTGACTGCAGATTGGATTTGCATATGCATAGACAGCTATGTGCATCTAATCCTGTCTTAAAAATCAGACTCATGTGCTTTGCCTGGTTGATAGGCCAGCTATTTATATAAAGGATGTTGGTGGGGCGAAAGAGCTGAAGGTAAATTAACTTCTTTTTTTTTTTTTTTTTAACTGTAACACAGAACCAACCAGGGTTAACATGCTACTGAAGCATAAAGTGCCAAGAGTAATTAAAGTGCTTTGATATTTATTTATTCATGCCTCTCCATGCTTGCATGTTGGAGGCATTTATCTGAGAACATACTCTCATAGGAATTGTCATTCACTGGGTCAGACCATAGGTCCATCTTGTCCAGTATCCTGTCTCTCACAGTGGGCAAGAGTGGATGGTGAAAGAGAGAGTGAACTGGGTATGACCAGGGTATTTTCCACATTCCTCTTGCACTTGCAGCCTCTAGCTCTTGAGGCCTAGGAAGTTCTAATTCAGAGGCTGCACCCCTAACTCCCATACTCAATAGCTGCTGAAGCTCTTTTCCTCCAAGAATTTGCCCAGTCCTTTTTTGAATCTGGCTAAACTGGCAGTTTCCACAACATCGGGTGGCAGTAAGTTCCACACTTTAATTATGCTTTATGTGAGAAAAAAAACTTCCTTTTTGTTAGTTTTAAATGCACTACCTACTAGTTTCATTTTCTGACCCCTAATTCTTGTATTGTGAGAGATTTAGTAAATAATAAATTCCTATATACTTTCTCTTCACCACTTAGTGTTTTGTAAACCCTTATCATGTTCCCCCTCAAGCATCTTTTTTTTTTTTCTAAATGGAATATACTGGCTTCTCTAGTCTCTCCTTCTACAGAAGTCTCTCCATAGCAGTAATAATTTTTGTTGACTTTCTCTGGACTTTCTCTAATTCTTCTGTGTCCTTTTTGAGGTATGGGGACCAGAACTGTGCACAATATGTAAGGTGTAGATACACCATGTATTTATAAAGGGGCATGGCAATACAGTTTTGTTTACAATTACCTTCTTAAAAATCCCCAACATTTTGTTTGCCTTTTTGTGGCTGCTCAGCACTGAGTTGATGTTTTTAGCAAACTCTCAGATCTCTTTCCTGTGTGGTAATAGCTAATGTAGAACCTGTCATAATGTAGGTATAGTTTGGATTATTTTTGCTTGTGTGTAATCACTTATCTACATTGACTTTCACTTTCCTTTTAGTTGTCTAATGACTCAATCATGCCAGATCCTTCTGTAGTTCCTCAGTCTGTCTTGGTCTTTACCACTTTGAATAATTTTGTGTCATTTGCACGTTTGACCAA